ATATTAAAACAGTAATTATAATTAAGACAATAATATTAATGTGGCACAATGTTTAAAATTTACAAAGGAAAGTTTTCATGCATAAAAATACAACAGATCTATAAATTTGTACTTCGATTTAGCTCGCGAAACTATATGTTTTTGAAAAAAAAAAATCACTTGTCATCTGCGTAATTGGAGAGACATGATACAAATTGCAACTCGTCACAGTACCAGAATAAGTGTTTGGAGTTTTGAGAGCTGAACTTTCTTCAAAACCTCCAAAGGTGAGTGTAGATTCAGGATTTCCAATTAGCTTGTGCTAGCCCTCAGAAGATGCTTTTAAATCACCAGAATTACAAAATTCCCCGGATTTCCAGCGTCAGTATTTTCATGATACTTTATGAGATTTAGGCACACACTAAAATGGTCCTTCTATTCTGTGAACGATACTGAGGATTTAAAGAAATGCTATTAGTGACGTGTGCAAATTTATCCGCACAGCCATCCACTCAACCGTTGAGAAAGCGAGGCTCGTTCGCTAACATGGTCTGATACCCTACTGACCCGGAGTCAAGTTAAAAAATTGTTTTGGTGAAGAGGAGTTAGAATTTTCTGAAAACTTTCAAATTCCTTGCGATCAGGTTCAGGACTTTCTAAATTACATTGGTACTAACTCTATTATTGTACAAGCTGCTTCTCAAACTAGAAGAATATCAGAACTGTCTGGATTTTCGACGTGAAACTTTCTATACTTACTCAAACCTCTATGGCTACATTTCCTGAAATGCAGAAGTATATCGAGCGCAGCTATACCAATTCCTTTTACTGCGTGTTACTTAGTTTCATTCTATTCTGTGGCACTTGGTCTCCATTTGAGCGCTCAAACCAACGTTGACAAATTGCCGTTCATATAGCTTTCCTGGATTTCTTTGTTGCTAGTTGTACACCAAACATATATACAATGTATTAAGCCAGCAGCACAAAGTGCTGTTGAAGCAATACCAAATGCAGCTCCAACACCACGTGAGATTGAGCCGACTCGTCCCGGAAGTAGCATCCATTGCAGTAAACTGCCTAAAATTTTTTGCTCTACAGCAATTATACAAGCAGTTTCTCAGAAGACTCGACACTTAGAAATTTAGAAATCATCTCGCTTTTAAGCCAAACTTCACCAAAAACACCGTTCAAAATCACTTATTTTTATTCTCAGAACCACAGATTATTATGATATTAGCGGAAAAACATAGACATTTGAAAGCAAGGCTTGTCCTAATTGCATCCTAGTAATATTGTTAACGCGAGATGTGCAAATCGATTGCTAAGATGGTCTTGTTATTCTTGATGTTTCTTAAGACATCTTATAAACATAGTGTTAATTATTGATAAACCTAGTAGAAAGCGTACCGGCTGCCGGTACGAGGATGCGTTTTTTGCGCAGTTCCCCCCCGCA